AAGCCCCAGCGTCCGGCCACGAGGTTCTGAGTTCGAACCCCAGGATCCCCGACACCGATTTGCTCGTGTCTGAATCGTTTCCGTTCTTCCTTCAGTTGCCCATCGTGGCCTCCTCCATTGTGACCCTCTATTTCCTGGAGCTAACCGACCTCTTCAAGCCTGCCAAGGTGGGCTTCCAGTGCTACGACCGAGCGCTCTCCATGCCCTACGTGGAGACCAACGAGGAGATGATCCCGCTGCTCATGCTTCTCAGCCTGGCATTCGCAGCTCCCGCGGCATCCGTGAGTAGCCGGGGGGCTCTCTGGGGATGGAGGAGGGTGCCCTTTTCCGTGTCTTTCCGCTTTCTTTTTTGTATTCCCCCCCCTCCGTATTTTTCATATGTGTGCACATGAGTGCGTGCACACCTGGAAGTCATGGCGACCTCTGGTGACTGACCCCTCCTGGGGGCATGGAGGATATTCAGAGAGGTGGCTGAGTAAAGCCTGCCCCCACCTCCCGACTGCTGGTATTCCTTGGGGGTCTCCCATCTGAGTACTTGCCAGAGTCGAGTCAGCTTAGCTTCCGAGATCTGAAGCGATAGGGCTTGCCTGGGCTATCCAGGTCAGGACAAGGCAAGAGACTTCAGAGGTGGCTTCCCTGTGCGGACTCTAATCCGGGAGAACCGGGTTCGAGCCCCCACTCCTCCACGTGCAGCTGCTGGTGTGACCTTGGGTCAGTCATAAGTTCTCTCAGAGCTGTTCTCTCAAGGACCGTTCTCAAAAGAGCTCTCTCAGCCCCACCCACCTCACAGGGTGTCTGTTGTGGAGAGGGGAAGGGAAAGAAGTTTGGAAACCGCTCTGAGACTCCTTTGGGTAGTGAAGGGCGGGGTATAAATCCAATCTCTTCTCTTCTTCATCATCTAGTCCAATCCCCTGCATAATGCAGGACATTCACAAATACCTCCCCCCCACACACCTGCAGTGACCGCATGCTCTATGCCCAGAAGAGGACTCAGGGCTCATCTTCTTGCTTTTTTAACTTTGTCATTGCAAACAGACGCTGGTCCATCTGTTTTCATCATCAGTTTGTTATTTTTATGCTTTGTGATGGACTTCTTAGGATGTGGAATGCTGTCGTATAGGCCAGTCCCAGCCGGTGCTCCCTGTAAGCCGCGGAGTCTCGTGAGCAAAAATTCTACTTTGTGAGCTGCTGGCATTAAAGTGGTGAGCGAGCGATTGGGCTCCTGCATCAATTAGTTTGGCTCTGGAGCCCTCCTTCCTGAGCGAAGACAAAAGTGTGAGAGCCAGAGACTAAAACCTTGTGAGCTAGCTCACACTGACTCAGCTGAGAGGGAACGCCGGTCACATCAGATCTTGCTCGTCAGGGTCGGTACTTGGACAGGAGACCACCAAGGAAGACTGCAGAGGAGAGGAGTGGCAAGCCACCTCTGCTTCATCTCTTCCTTTGAAAACCCTCTGGGGGTCAGCTGTGACTGGATGGCGGTTTACACGCAGGGAGTGGACTTCTTGGCTCAGGCTTGCCCAATCTCATCAGATCTCGGAAGCTGAGCCAAATCAAGCCCTGGTTAGCATTTGGAGAGGAGACCCCCCCCCAGGAAGTCCAAAGATGCTACGCAGAGGCGGGCAAGGGCAAACCGCCTGTGTCCATCTCTTTCCTTGAAAACCCTACGGTAGCGGTGACCAAACTTGCTTAACATAAGCGCCAGTTTGGTGTAGTAGTTAAGTGCGCAGACTCTAATCTGGGAGAACCGGGTTTGATTCCCCATTCCTCCACTTGCACCTGCTGGGTGACCTTAGGCAAGCCATAGTTCTGGCACAGCTATTCTTGAAAAAGAGCCGTTTCTCTCAGAGCTCTCTCAGCCCCACCTACCTCACAGGGTGTCTGTGGTGGAGAGGGGAAGGGGAAGGAGTTTGTAAGCTGCTCTGAGACTCCCTTGGGTAGTGAATGGCGGGGTATAAATCCAATCCCCTCCTCTTCTTCTTTTACCTCCCAGGGTGTCTGTTGTGGGGAGGGGAAGGGAAAGGAGTTTGTAAGCCGCTCTGATGAGACTCCTTTGGGTAGTGAAGGGTGGGGTATAAATCCAATCTCTTCTTCTTCTCCTACCTCACAGGGTGCCTGTTGTGGGGAGAGGAAAGGAGAGGAGTTTGTAAGCCACTCTGAGACTCCCTTGGGTAGTGAAGGGCGGGGTAGAAATCCAATCGCCTCCTCTTCTTCTTTTACCTCACAGGGTGTCTGTGGTGGGGAGGGGAAGGGAAAGGAGTTTGTAAGCCACTCTGAGACTCCTTCGGACGGTGGCCACCACAAAACACAATTATTATATAAGGAGAGATATCCCGCCCTCCTTGCCGAAGCAGGCTCAGGGCGGCTTGCGTTGAATTTTTTAGATGATATTTATTTAGATGCCTATTTCTCCCCTGGGATTTAACCCCCACTGCGCTGGGCCACATTTGAAAGCCTGATGCTGGCTCCTGGCTTTCCTCTGGTGGAAGTCTCTTTGGTCAGCGGAAGGCTTCAAACGTGGCCAAGCAGAAGCATAAGAAACTTACTGCCTCTTACCACCGATTTATCGATGCACGAATAACACTGGGGGAGAGAGTGTGTCTGTTTTATGGGGGAGAAACTGGATGCGAGGAAAGGAATGGAAAAAGGTACCGGCTGGATCTCTTAGGGAAAACCTTTTTTACAGTCAGAGTTGTGTAACAGTGGAATCAGCAGCGTCGGGAGGTGGGGGGCGGCTGGACAACCTGTCAGGGACGCTCTACGCTGGTCCTGCATTGAGCAGGGGGTTGGATGAGATGGCCTCTCTGGCCCCTTCCAACTCTGTGATTCTATGATTCTATAAGGCGTGGTTAGAAAGGTTGGTGAATTCAGTTCACATCAAGGGAGAAGCGACATTGAAATGGGAGCTCCCCGGCATGCTTCTGAGATCTGTGTTCAAATCCCGTGCCCTTCAGGCAATGGGGAAGAGCATTCACTGCCTCCCAGCTATTTACACAAGAGGCATGAAACCAATGTCTGGCTGTCCACCATCTCTCTTGTCTGGTCCTCCTTTCTGTCTCTTCCCAGATGCCTCCCACAGGACTTCCTGTCTCTCCTCTCTCCAGACTGCTTCCAACTCTGCTTTCCCCAGCTTCCCGCCGTTATATTCTCGACCCTGCTCGTCTTCCCTTCTTAGCTCCCCACTTCCTCTCCCCTGGGCCCATCTGCCTGCCTCGTCCCCATCTGATATCGCAGCTGCTCCACTCAATGACCAGCAGTGCACCTCCTCTGTGACATCACAGCAGGTCACCCAATCAGAATCGAAAAGGTTCCTCCCTCTGAAACAAAATCTTGCTTGTCAGGCACACTGACCGGGAGCTGTAGGTGGAGTGGGGTCGCTTTTAGCACTCGGGTCATTGCATCTTTCTGTTCCCTCCCATGCGCAGATCATGGTGGGGGAAGGCCTCGTGTACTGCCTGCAGTCCAAGCTGAAGGGACGCACCGAAGGGAGCATCAACGCCGGCGGGTGCAATTTCAACTCTTTCCTGCGCAGGACTGTCAGGTTTGTGGGTAAGTCTGGTGGCCTCCCGCTCCTCTCCTGGAGGCTTGTGGCAAATGGTGGGGTGGCGCTGCTTGCCGTCGCCCCCTCTGAGTCCTTGTGATCTGTGGCGTTCATGAACAATGAATCCACAAGAATAACACACAATCTCAAGACAGTCTGGTAAGAAAAAATATATACAGTTGTGTGCTAGATGCCCACAGAACGACAAAAGAGACTAGATTAAAGCCATAGCATCATTTAGTGTCTAGTAATGAAAAACCTGCTGCAGTGGCTCAAGTGGTTAAGACGCTGAACTGCAGGCTGTGGAAGGTCGGTAGTTCAGCAGTTCGAGACCAGAGGGTGCCGCATGACGGAGTGAGCTCCCGTCTCTAGTTCCAGCTCCTGCCAACCTAGCAGTTCGAAAGCAAGAAATTGCAAGTAGATAAATAGTTACCACTTCGGTGGGAAGGTAACAGCATTCCATGCACCTTGGTGTTTAGTCATGCTGGCCACATGACCACGGAAACGTCTTCGGACACCGCTGGCTCTTCGGCTTTGAAACGGAGACGAGCACCGCAACCCTAGAGTCGGATTCGACTGGCTTTCGAGCAAGGGAACCTTTACCTTTACTTTAATGAAAAACCACCACTTATTCCTTCATAGAAAAAATACAAAGGTCAATAAAACTACACATAGCAGTCTGCTCCAAACTCTCTCAGTCAATATCCTTCTAACATTCTTGTATTTTCAAAAGCAGTCTGCTCCAAATTCAGTCTCTCTTTCAACACTTATTCCGGTTTTAAGTGTTTCAGACCTGCGGTCTTTCCTCAGGATGGAATCCTATATAGGAATCTCACATTCAATGTTACCTTCAAGTTGACACATTCATTGATTTACTTTTCTGTTCCTCTACTTGGGCGAGGTCTCCTCACTGATTTTCAAGCCTGCTGCTGCCACTGCCAAAGTCAAATGGACCCAGACTATCCAGAAGGATATTGACTGAGACAGTTTGGAGCAGGCTGCCATATGTAATTTTATTGACCTTTGTATTTTTTCTATGAAGGAATAAGTGGTGGTTTTTCATTAAAGTAAAGGTAAAGGTTCCCTTGCTCGAAAGCCAGTCGAATCCGACTCTAGGGTTGCGGTACTCATCTCCGTTTCAAAGCCGAAGAGCCAGCGCTGTCCGAAGACGTTTCCGTGGTCATGTGGCCAGCATGACTAAACACCAAGGTGCACGGAACGCTGTTACCTTCCCACTGAAGTGGTCCCTATTTATCTACTTGCAATTTCTTGCTTTCGAACTGCTAGGTTGGCAGGAGCTGGAACCAGAGACGGGAGCTCACTCCGTCATGCGGCACACTCGGGTCTTGAACTGCTGAACTACCGACCTTCCACAGCCTGCAGTTCAGCGTCTTAACCACTTGAGCCACCGCAGCTTTTCATTTTTTCATTACTAGACACTAAATGATGCCATGGCTTTAATCTAGTCTCTTTTGTCATTGTATTATTCTGTGGGCATCTAGCACACATCTGTATATATTTTTTCTTAGCAGACTGTTCATGAACCATGACCATCTGCCCAAGGGTTTAGTGCCCTAACCCAATAACTCACGAAACCAAGGTCCACGAAACCCAGAGTCACTGTAAGCACGAGAGCAAGTCCCATTCTTGCTTCCTCCACTGGGAGGTTTCCAGACCGCAAGGCCAGGGGGAGCCATCTGGCGGGATCTAAGGCTGGGAGGGGAGCCGCCAGCCAGGCCGGAAGACGCCGCGTATGCTCCAAGGTGGGTCCTTCACCCAGCCCTCTCTCCCAGGGCTGATCTCAACTCTTGTCGTAGGTGTCCACGTTTTCGGCCTCTGCGCCACCGCCCTGGTGACCGACGTGATCCAGCTGGCCACGGGCTACCACGCCCCCTTCTTCCTGACCGTCTGTAAGCCCAATTACACACTTCTGGGCATCTCCTGCGACTCCAACCCCTACATCACGCAGGATATCTGCTCGGGCCAAGACCAGCACGCCATCCTGTCTGCCAGGTAAGTGTGTTTAGGGTTCCGCCACCACCCTCTCCCTTCGAACGGGAGTTCCCCGGGTGAATTCTCATCTCCACCATCTTCCTTGAGGACACACTACCCTCTCCCTTCGAATGGGAGTTCCCCGGGTGAATTCTCATCTCCACCATCTTCCTTGAGGACAATCTCTCAAGTTTTAGTCGACATCGTTCCTTTGGCACGCTGGCAGGTCTCGGGAGACTGGCAAGGGCCGAGTTTGCTGTTTATCTCCCCAAGAACTTTTGAACGTGGGCCAGACCAAGTCAAACTACTTATTAAACAAAGAGTGACAGATATAGAAAGACAAATGGCTGTTCATAGAACTCCAGGCTTTATCTCTCCTCCAAATTTTAGATTTGTTGCTGCTCCTGTTGCATACTTATATTTTCTTGAATCAAATAATTCCAGAAGGGCCTTTACATTGGCAAGAAGTTCAACTCTCCCTTTCACTGTTCTGGATGGGAGCTTTAAATCAGTCCCCTATATGCATAGGCTCTCTTCTTGTTCTTTAAAGGAAATTGATTCAATGGAACATATTTTCTTTAACTGCCCTAGGCACAAAGAAATCCGGTCAAAATTTATTGAGCCGCTGATGGGAAATTTCCCTGGCAAATCACACAAAATTAAACTTGATTATCTTCTGTCCAATATGAACCACGAAACAACCCGAATAGTGGCTAAGTTTTGTGCACAGGTATACAAAGATTGGAAAATGCATACGGTGGCTTGAGTGGGATTTTTAAAGTTGTGAAATTTGATTGTTTGATTTTATGTAAACCTTTGTGTATGCTGGTCATTGACTGTAAAATAAAATTGTTGTTCTGTTGAGCATTTGATGGTTGTGGCGAGAAATAGCCCCTTGATCTCCAGGTGTTCTGAGTTGAGGAACGTGTCTTAGGTGTACAGATGGGGCTAGATTCTTTTGTTTGTACCTGAGCACTTTATGGGAGCTTTACGCATTGCCGATTGGGCTTAGCAGATTCACGGGCATATGAAATATTGTACCTCTTGATGGCTTGCCTGTGTTGCATCTCAAGAATATTTATCACTGCTTACTCCATGGGCGAACGTCTCAGTATAAGGTCCATTCTGTGTATGATGAGTTTTATGTATATTTTTGTTCAATTTATGCAGTGCTCAGTTTGAATTTTACCAAGGAAGGCTTTTAGTCAAAATGTGTTTGGTATTGGTTCTTGTAAGGTAAAGGTAAAGGTTTCCCTTGCTCGAAAGCCAGTCGAATCCGACTCTAGGGGGTGGTGCTCATCTCTGTATCCAAGCCGAAGAGCCGGCACTGTATGAAGAAGTTTCCGTGGTCAGGTGGCCAGCAGGGCTAAACGCCAAGGCTCACAGAACACTGTTACCTTCCCACCGAAGGGGTACCTATTTATCTACTTGCAATTTCTTGCTTTCGAACTGCTAGGTTGGCAGGAGCTGGGGCCAGAGACGGGAACTCACTCTGTCACATGGCACTCAGGTCTCGAACTGCCGAACTACAGACCTTCCGGGTCTGCAGCTCAGCGTCTTAACCTCTGAGCCACCGCAGCCCTATTGGTTCTTGTATATGGATACAATTTGTACTTTTTAACTTGTATTTATACGATTGAACATTTGTCTTCATATTAGAATTAGGTACTTATATGCAGAGCCATAGGATTCTGGGTTTTAAATGATAATTTTAGCACTTTTGAATGTATAATTAAATCATATATGATATTTTGTACATTAGCACTATGTGCGTTGCTATATTTTAGGGGTTTTTTTTGGGGGGGGGGTTTGCCTCAACCTTTTGGTAACTTTTCTTAGGTGTGAAGGCCAAGGAGAAGGGCCTGCAGACTATCTGGCAGCCAGAGAGCCAGAACTGGCCGCAGTGCTTTGCACACCCAGGTTTGTCCTGTGTTGTATTAACACAGGCCCTAGGTGGGTTTACGTTGCCATTATTAGGGTGTGGATGGGTTTCCGAGGCAAAGAGACATTCAAAGGTGACTTGCCATCGCCTGCCTTTGTATCGCAGCCCTCGACTTCCTGGGTGGTCTCCCATCCGAGTACTAACCAGGGCGGACCCTGCTTAGCACCCGAGATCTGGCAAGGCCAGCCTGGGCTATCCAGGTAAGGGCATGGGCAGGGGTCATTTCATAGAAAAAGAGCTAGGGGAACTCATTAGCATAACTCATTAGCATATGCCACACCCACTGACATCAGGGGCCCGGCGGTGGACCTGCAAGGCCAGCAGGAGTGTGAGGAAGCCCCGCCAAGGCCCTCCCTGGTCCCAGGCAGGCAGGGGTGGGGAGAGGCGGGGAGGAAGCAACTTACCCTCCCTCTTCTCCTGCCTCCTCCTGGCTGAATGGGGGCTGGAAGCGGGCGGCCGGAAGCAGGGGGCGGGGTTTTGTCATGTGCCCCGCCCCCCTGCACCTCACCCGGGGGAACTGCGTTCCCCCGCGTTCCCCCCCGAAATGACCTCTGGGCATGGGTTTAGATGGAGCAATTGGGAAGGAGGGAGGGAGGGAGGGAGGGAGGGAGGGA